ATGGAGTTTCTTCATCAAAATTAACTACATATATGCTCATGTCTTTCAGTCACTCTGTATGCCTATGGAAACACCTTTTAGTGAGTTAATGTATATCCTTGATCATCATATGTGTCTGAATTACAGCTTTGAATTTGTGTAACTTTTTAAAATTTAACTTTATTAGTTACACTTAGCACATTAAAAAGTGCATTAAAATTGCATTGGGTTAAGGAGTTAGTCTTGCATAATTTATCCCTTTTCAAGGCTTAATAAATACCATTATAATGTGTCGACAGCCCCTAGTGAAGATAGTAATGATACATTCCATTTACAGCCCTATCATCCCAGGTGCAGTCTGTAAGTTCGTGATCACCGATGGAGAGCAGGCAATTCAAGAACTCTAGCAGTGACATAATGACTAAGTATTTATATAATGGTCCCATTTGCCCAGAGCTTCTTATTTTTCAAAACTCTTTCAAGTCTTTTCATTTTAAATCAACTGCACCACTGTAGAATGGCGTGGGGAAATATCGAATAAACCAGTATTTTATTTATGTAGTACATTTGTGTAGTGCAAGGTCCCTTACATGTATTATCTCATTTGAACCTCAGACCAACCCTGTGAAGTAGACAGGACATATGGTCACCATCCCTATTGTGCAGGCGAGGAAGCTGAGACTCAGGAAAGTTAAATGTCATCCTGAGGTCAACATCTACTAAGTAGTGAGGCTGGAAATGAATTTGAGACTACCACAGCTAGCTCATGAAAAACAATAAAAAAATATATCCAAAGGTAGGATATATTCACAGAGAGGTAAATTACTCAGTATATATTTTGGGATTTAAAGATACTCTTGGACCCTGTTTTATAGTCACAGGGTAAATACTTGGCTACCTGTGAGCAGTAGTGTTTACATTTTGAATGGAGGTAAAGGGAAATATATTCTGAACATACACAGGCTCCTCTACCACCCTGGATGCTGCTGCTGTGAAAGAATGAGCCCTGGCTTTGGAGCCAAACTATCTCCATTTGCACCCTAGTTTTGCCACTAAATAGGCATGGGGCCTTGGTGAGGTATTTAACCTTAGTTTTCTTACCTCTACCATGGATATTGTTTTTGCAGTGCTGTTGGAGGGATTAAAAGTAACTTCACCAGGAAGACTCATCCCTGGTGCCATCTAAATGTCATTCTTACAATAATCATTCCATTTCCTTCAAAGCACTTGTTACAATTTAGAATTATATATACTTTTGTGTCCACTTCACATCTCTCTCTCCTTCTAGAATATGGGCTTCATGACATCAAGGACTCTGCTTATTTTTGCTACTTCATTTATGTCTTATGCCAACCCCAGTGCTACTAATCATGGAGTGAATATTTCTGGAATAAATCTGCCACTTCCTTGTACTTGTTTTTATTTCAGCCGCATTCAGCCACACGGAATGACCTGCAGCTTCCCAGTCCTTTCACATCTCTCTGCCCTTACATATGCTATTTCCTTAGCCCGACATAGTAGCCCTCACGCCTTTGTTTTTCTGGAGAATCCTTACTCATCCCTTAAGACCTAGCTTAACTCTTCCATGAGGGCTCCCGTGATCTCTCTCCTCCCCTGAAGAGTGAGGGGCTCGCATGCCTCTTGGCGTGCCTCTATAATAGACCAAACCACATTATAGTCATTGGCGTGTTCAACTAATATATATATATATTTTTTTTTTTTTTTTTTTGCGGTAC